CGACCTCATTCGACCTCTTGCGGTGAAACAAGGTGAAACGATTGCTTGATCTTGGGGGTGTCCCATGTCTTCCCCAGTCCCAGGACAACAAAAAGGGGCCTGGAAGATGAACTCGTACTGTTTATTCCCACCTGCGGGTCAACATGTGGGTGAACATCAAGCTCTGTTATGCTCTGATTTACGCAGGGCTGGTGCCGGTTCGCACAGTGATCAACAGTCAGTGCTACTCGTATGTGCTGCGGTTTGGTCACGAAAACATGGCCGCTCTCGACTCTCGACTCTCTACGACAAGTTTCCTTTAGAACCACACCAAGTGGTCGCGGGGAAAACCCGAACAGTCGACAGTCCTGTGATTTCGGTGCTCTGCGCCATTTGGAATCGGATGGATGGCAAAGGCCTCGCCCCTAGGCCTTGCGGAGGTGGACATGGGGACAAGATGGATGGAAAAAACCACGGATCAAGGCCCTAGGCCAAAGAACTTCACGGCCTAAGGGCGTCTCCCAAATGCTGCTTGACCACCCCGATTTTGGTTTTGGTTTTGGTTCGGGGTCTCAAAACTGACGGTTGGGCGTTTCTGGTTTGATGTGTGTTTTGCTTGGAGACGGAGACCGGTTGCTACCTTGACCCGACTGACCCAGTACCTTGGAAAATGGTGACATGACCCCATTAGAAAAAATAACAGGTACTTGTACCTAAAATGGTGACATGACCTAATTAAACAAGGTATACTTGTACCAATTTTTTTTCCGAGGCACGAACTGAGACTCCAGGTACGAACTATTTAGTTGGCAGGGGCCAGAACCCATGCCACGTGCGAGGCTCGAAGCCGATCAACAGTGATGAACAACTCGAAGGCCGGCCAACGGGCCAACGGCGGCCAACGTTCACTGCGTTTGTGCAGGCAGAGTTGGTGAAGCTTCGTGGTAGAACAAAGTGTTTGCATCAAGCAAGCGATGGTTTTCAGCAGAGTTGGTTGTCTATTGGGAATCGACATGTGGTCCCAGAGCCTCGCTTCCAGCACACTTCTTAATGAACCAACATGCTGGATGGATACTCCTCAGGTGGTTGAAGTCTCACGTAAGCTGGTCAAAATTTACGTTTCAGATCGTTTCCTGATAAAACTCCCAGCCCTTGAATCAATTGTAGCCAAGAAAAAGGTAAGCATCTTATGTATCCATCCAGGTCACTTCTCGTGTATATGTATAAATTTGTTCTCACTAGGTCACTATAGGTGTGATGAACTTCGGCATGCCAGGAGGAGAAGAAGACGGGCCAGGAGGCTGCGGGTGCTTGATGGTGCTTGGTTTAGCGGGTTTTGCTTCGTGTGCCCGTCCCATGTTGGAGTCATTCTTGATGATGCTTGATCGAAGAACCCATTGGACTCTTGCTTTGAGAGGTACTGGCGCTTGTTCGATGGGTGGTAGTTCAAAACAGAGGTCGCTCAGGTTCAAGGATGGTGGCCGAGCTTCTTATTCTGGAAGCACCGTTAGGACTGTGACTACAAGCGAACTGGTTTTTGGTGATTCCCCGTTGAACAGAGTCCTGCTCAGTTTGTGAAGGTAATGTACAAGAAGGGTAATGTAGACTCTTGACTCTTGACTAATAAACTAACCCCCTCCATTTGGACTGAAACACCTCTTGACATGGGGCCGGGGGTTGTAATATCATCAAAAGTTGAGGTTAAACATCCAGGATAATTGGGCAAACCATGGCCCCCTAATCAGTTGAAGACCGATTTTATACCGAAATGCAGGTTTTCAACACGACTCGGCAATAGGTTCATCATTGAACATCCGTTCGAACGTGGACATGACCTCAGGTCAATAGGGGTCGCTCAGGTTCAGGGTCAATGAGGGGAGAAAACACACAAATCGTGACACCACCTGTTTGCACGACTTCTGACATCCACCCCAGAAGTCCAATCCCATACACTCCATGTATGGAATATGTGCTTACATTGACCCCCCAAACCATCCCAATGTAGGCATACATGTCATACATGGAGCGTCTGGGAATGAAACACCGCAGGAGGTTGCAAATCGGGCAGCGAGCCTGGAACACTGGTTGGATGCCGGTTTGCGCTTGGGTTCCGGCGTCGCCTGGCGAGAAACCGGATGGGCCGTGGGCTGTTCGAATCTCACGAGGAAAGACTTCGGTGGAGCCCGATGTGCGACGGTCGAACATGGACCCTGCTAGATGTTTTGCGATCCCAAGATTTGTGTTGAGGAATAGTTCCCCAGAAAGGTGAGATCCTAGAGTCGTAGTCGTTGCATGGTCCTATACCCGTGAACCCCATCAGTGGGATCGCTAAAGCCTTTGTTGGGGGAAGGACACCGTTTTTTTTTCAAAACCAACCGGGAAACGATGGAAAACACAGCTGGGCGGATCTGGGTAACAGGCAAACGGCGCTGGTTGCGCAACCGTTGGATGGGCTTGGCCCACGAAGAGTTGGAGGCTCTTCCGAGGAAAACCCGGGCTTTGTGCACCACGGGGAAGAAAGGCGTCCGTGACGGCAGAGAAGTGAACCGTGCCGTGATATTAATAAGACATGATGGAAGTGATGGAAGTGATGTCTATTTTTTCTATTTTTTTCTTCCCTACACCATGCTCCATGATGTTCCACATGGTATTTTGCATATTGCACCTGTTTCTTTGTCCTTGGACATGGTGTTCATGCAATTTTTTTGACAAACTGCTCCCAGACTTTGGGGATTTTGCTTTGATTCAAAATATCCGAGCCAACAGCCAACAGCCTGAGGAAATCAATTACAAAAAACAAAACTTCCTTCCAAAAAATGACCTAAATCCCTGCACCTCCCTCAGAGCCTCACTGGCTAACACGCGCAATTTGCTAGCCTGAGGTGGCGCGTGCACGCCGCGCGCCGCCCGAGGGCTACGAGGTTTGTGGGCCCGGTGCGTTTCGAACGTATCCAGTTTGTTGAAGCAGTGGATGGGTATGAAAGTGAAGAAGCTAAGCTAGTTTCTTCTACTTGCCAATGGTGTTTGGAAGTTATATTTTTGTTGAAGGGTTGATGGCTGGTGGGAATGAACAAGTAAAGGCAAGGGGCCGGCAACCTTCCTTTTGGTTACCAAACGTCCAAAGCAATCAGTTCATTCTGATCAGGACAGCAACCAGTTGTATCACATCTAAACAGTTTAGCCTAAACCAACGTATTGCTGTTCAGCTACAGTCCGACCCATGATGCTTGGGGGTCATGACAAGACTAAAATCTAGGAGACAAGACATCCATCCGTTGATGTTGAATGCACGGAAAGTGGATTGACAGGTACTTGAAGTCGGGTCCAGGAAGTTGCTTCACCTCATTTGAACCTCTCAAGACCCAAGCTTCAGATGAATCTTTCTCAAGACCCTGGCTCGCTCTCAAGCAACCGAAAAGATGGGTCTCAGAAACCGAACTCCACTCTCGCATGAGATGGGAAAGCGGGTCGCCCCTGAGTGGTTGGTGAGTTTAATCTCCTTCAGACCAAATGGCCCTCGAGTTCCTTTTTGCTTGCAGGCCGTTTATTGCCCGTGAAGGTTGCAGCACTACAATGCCTACAAGAAACACCTGCACATTGCAGTTTGGTTTTTGTTTAATGTCATATTGCTCCTGCTATGAAGTCATCATCTCACAATTCGAGAACAAATACAATCTTTGACCCCCAGCCAGGACATCCATCAAAAACAATTATTTGACCCCTACACCAGCCCACGTCCCACCCATACAAGATGCTTCTGCCATGAATTCTACCCATCTCACCTTTTTGAGAATTATAGGACCGGATAACCCGACATGTTAACAACTTCACCAGACACAGGAGCGGACAATTGGTTGTTGGTGGTTGGTTGGTGGTTGGTACTTGGTACTTGGTGGTGGTTGGTTGGTGGTTGGTTGGTGGTTGGTGGGGTTATCGCTTCCTTTGGAGAGGAGGCAGTCAAAAGATCTCTTCACTCGCATGGCCGACTGATGGCCGAATTGTCTTGCTGCACTGCTTCGTCATCAGGCAACTTCGCGGTATTGAAGCGCACCAAACCACGAAGGATGAGTGTCCACTGTGACCTCGTGCAGCGGCGCCTGCCACGCAAATCACACCGGCAGAGCGGCGGAGACCCAGGGACGCCAGGGCGTACATCCGACCCCTGGGAGAGCTCCAACTACCGCGCCTGTGACGCCAGGGCGCACATCTGACCCCTTGGAGAGCACCAAGTACCGCGCCTACCGTGGTTGGTGGTGGTTGGTTGGTGGTTGGTGGTTGGAGGACGGGCGGCGGGAGGAGCGGAGGAGGAGCGGATGCAGCACTAAGAACCAAAAGCCCCACACATCAAGGTGGGGAAAAACAGATGCAACCAATTTGGCGCCAACGCCAACGCCCAGAAAAGCCGCTGTCACACGCCGTCTTTGGCCAGAGGTGGCGCCTTTGGCCAGAGAGGTGCCCTTCCTCCAACACCAAGGTGGGAGGAACTTGGACCCGACACCTTCAACAAGGGGGTCGAACCTTTCTTCTTATACATGGGGTAACTGGGGCCCCGAACCAAGCCCTTGTTTTTGAAGGTCTGGATCCTTGGGATAGTAAGTAACCGGTGGTTTCCAAAGGACTGAACAACACCGGGTAGAACCTCATGGGTTTTCCTATTTTTTCCTTGCCTGGGATCCACTGGGAATCATCTAGATTATGGACATGCCCGGTAGAGTATTGAGTGATTGCGTTCATTTTGGGGGTGCGAGTCCGGCACGATCGCACATCTCCGCCATGGCCCGAGCACCCTATTGATTGCTGCCCGCACACCCAGTAGTTCATGTTGATTCATTATGCAGTACCAGAGACCTTTCAAGTTTACAGATACAAATAGGTTAGCATGCCTATGGAACATCCACCTCTGTGAATCCTGATAAACCGCAGAATATGTTGATGCCATGAACAAAATCAAAAACTGATGCCACCAAACATCACTCTCGTCAGGCACTGGAGTGATCTTGTGGCCCATCCGTTTGGACCTGATGCCTTTCTTCACGCTGCTCGAGGGGACCTTGCCCGATCGACCGCTGGTGCGCTGGTCACCGGAGCCGGGGCGAGTGCGGGGCGGTGTTTTTTGGGGCGATGAAGTGGTCAGATGATGGGGAAAGAAGACATTCCCTAATGAACATGGAAGTCTGTAAGGGGCGAACTCCATGTAAATGATGCCCTTTTTTGTTTGGTTGCTCTTTTGAACATAGGAACACACAGCCTTGCGAATGCTAAGCCGGTTGGAGTTTCGGTGTTTGTCAGTGAACGCCTTTGGATGCCGGCGAGCCTTGATGTTTGTCCAATAGCCCGGAGTGCACAGGGTCCATTCTCTTGAAGGTGGGGAGGATTTCAATGGTTTCAGTACACAACCCCCAAGATGTGTTTTACATGTTGGTCCGTATAAACTACCAACATTGGGCATTGTCGTGCCATCTACTCTCAATCCATCAGAAGTGATGAAGATTTGAAGAGAGATTGGACGTTTCCGCCTCTGTTCTCGATGTCCCGGGGTCAGAAACTTGACCAAGCAGAATTGCGTGATTCGAGTACATTCGAGTGTGCTGTTTGGACAAGCGAGCTGTCTTGCCAAACCGCTTTGGTAATTCTTTGGGATATGTTGGGATGGTTCCGTGTATAAAAGGAAGGCCACCATTTAGGTTTCCGCAGTATTCACATAGAAAGGGAGGACAGCAGATGAACCTTCATTTTTGGCACCCCCAAAACTGTTCGACAGGTCACCGTTTATCACTACACCAGTGAGATGGGCTTCGCCAAGATCATTGCGCGCTTTGAGGATGAGCCACCCGGGCGAGGAGTGTTGGAGCTTTCCTGTGGTGGTCGGAGATGAGACTCCAAAGGCTCCCCACGAAAAGCACCTTGAAACGAATCCACGAGTTGTTTGTAGTATGGTTTCTGCATGTATGTTTTGTATGTATGAAGTAAGCATGAATCCACAACCTGATCATGAGTTCAGGAGACTGAGACTGCACAAAAAACATACACTCCCTGAACTAGTCATGGTTTGAGGTTCGGGAACAGCTGTTGGGAAATGCAAAACATGCCGACCTCCGAGGGGCCATGCCATCAATGCCATCCATGAGCCTTTCAACCCTAAGGATCCGTGGACCCTCCTTAGAAGGGATCGAACCCTGCTGTTCACAAGGGTTTGGGGCCCCTCAAAACCATTGTTTTGTTTCGGATGCGGTTCCTGATAGGGAAGAACACATCTTCCAAGCTCGCTTCGAACCAATTCGTGACCCTCCGGAGTCCGGAAAACCACCTGGAGTCCTCTTTGCGGTGACCAATCCTTCACCCTCCGGGGTTCCCGGGAACCGAAGTGAAGAACGAAAGGGCTCCAAGGGCTGGGATGAATCGGTCCGTGCACGACGCCTGGAGCAGGTAGGTCTGTGGATGTGACGGCAGTGTTGACCGACTTGACACAGATCTTCAGCAAATGCCCCAAATAAGAGCAACGAAGGTGTTGCAAGACTCCGGTCGCCTCACAGTTCTTTTGCACATCCACTCTCCAGACTGAAGGCGAAGGGATGTCACACAGGTCGAGATGTGCGAGAAAAGGACAAACAACATACAACATTAAAGCAGAATCGGTGATATTCCGATCCCACCCACCTGTGCAATGGCTAGTGGCTATAGGACTTTTCTCGCTCGCATTGGACGAACCGTCTTCATCCACCTGAATCAACTTTTTGACAAATCATTGAAGCTTAAAACATCCCGTATACCGCCTTTGAATAAAAATTTAGGGGGACGTACCGTCAGTTTAAAGTCAGTTTTGTTTGATGTGTTCTTTTAACAAATCACGAATGGTATATCTTCAAAGCCACATAGTATGGTATCATAATGTATCATGGTCTCTTCTTATTTCTTGTGATCTGGAGATACAATTGGAGACTTCTATGCTTGTACCCTTGGAATCAGCTACTGCACCCATGTTTTGAAGGTACTTGAGCTCTGGTACTTGGGCTCTCCAAACCAACACCCCGCCCACCCTCAAACAGCTCTCAGGGGGTATGTAGATGCAGGCCCCAGTTCATTCCCGAGTCCGAGTCATGGCTGGCGTTTTGTATGTACCATTCTACATCGGTCTACTCTTCCAGAAACCCGGACATCGTGAACATAGAAATTTGTTTACCAGTTCCAGATGCCCGTAGGCCTATAGGGTTGGAAGGCGCCTTGAAAAAAGTTGTATTTGGAAGGAGACAAACCTCAAAAAGTAGACGCAACCCCGCCCACCCCTGCGCCGCAAACCCACCCAACATGGAGGAGATATGACCAGAAACTGGCTGCCACGCTGGCTGGACATGGCTGGACATGTGAACAGCACATTTCGACCGCTGAGGTCCGGAGCTCTGCCAAGCCCCCAGGGCTTTGCCGAAGAGCTTTGGGACAGGCGCGCGGTGAACACCGCGCGCAACACTGGCCGGTGTGGAGCGCGCGTGCTTTTACGCTGCCGGGGGGGGTTGAAGAGGAGCAAGTCGATGAGTCATCACAGGCAATTGAAGAATGTGGTACTTTCCGAAGGACATGTGATGTGTATGTGTGTGCGTGTGAGGCTTCTGAAGTCACTGTCTTGTTTTGTAAATACCAATATCCAGCACCACCCAAAGGGGTTGTTGGACGGAAATTGCATGGTGAGGGGGGTCTACAAGCCACCCCTTTGGTGGAAGAAAAATACCTTGGTGGTATGCCTCGACTTCAAAAACACACATGTGAGATTCTGGATGGTGTCTTGAAGGTCACTGCATCTTCAGAGATTCATGCCCGATTCACACCCGAATCACTCACCTCCACACAGTCCCCCACCCATCACTACTGGAGTCTTTGGTGGAAGAGTGCATTTGCCTAGTCTGCCCAGCATCCAACAGATGCTGCTTGCCTACTGCCTCGGCGCAGAGTGAGCCCACTGCTGGAAGTCCAGCTAATCCAACAATACAACTTCAAAGCTGCGAATCATACCCTCGAATCATGCCCCCGAATCACACCCCGAATCATACCACCTATTCAAACTTCCCGGCCCGACTACGGTAAAAAATACACACCCATGTAGTTGTCTGGAGTTTTTACTACAGAATGTCAAGGCTTCAATACAGTAATTTTCGGGAGGTTTTAGTAGAGAATGTAATCGTTGGGTGGTTTTAGTCACAATGTCATTGTGTGTGCTTGCCAAGGCTGCTTATGTTTTTCTTTTTTGTGGATTCTTGGTGGGTGGGTTCGTCTTTTTCCCCAAGCAGTGTGGACACACTAGGGGTTCTTACGGTAGGGGAAAAGCAGCTGATGCTTAGATCGCTGAAGCGCGCGGGCCTGACCGGCTAATTCGCTGCTATTTACGGTACATTCATGCCTCTCGAAATCCTCGAAGTGCATTTCGACTGCGCAGGCTCACAAAGTCTGGGTGCCCCCGGCGGGTGCTTCTAACGACTGCGCTCTCGTTGTGGTGCCGTGCGCACTTTTGCACATGGTGTTCACTTTTTCTTGGCAGGTGCCAGGGAAACCTCGTGTTTTGGTGCTTCAAAGTCGACTTTTCGTTTTATAGTGGTTCACACATAGATGGCATACGGTCAACACCTATTAAAAGACCATCTAAGACGGATAAGACCCACCTCAAAACAATCAATGTCTACACAAGCACTATATAAGATGGCACATTGGCAAATTCATGATTTTAATTGCTGCGATTCCGCGCGATTCCAGTATACAAGAAGGAGGTACACTTAGATGGCATATGCAGAGAAGCTTTCTACTAAGATCTTTTTTGGCTGATGTGAGAAGACGGTCTAGACTTGGAGGCCATCACTATTAGGTATGAGGCCATCACTATTGGGCTGGCGGCCATCGCTATTGGGCCAGAGGCTATTAGGCTGGGGGCCATCGCTTTGATCGAGGGGTTTCCTCAGGTCTTATTTGTGGATTTTAAGATGGCACACTAGCCTCCCCGTTCATTCAAGTGCCATCTGCAAAAAATGTCAAAAAAGTGGTTGATATGCCATCTCATCCAGCGTGAGTCATATGCCATCTATGTGTGATCCACTATACTTCGAAATTGGCTCGTTTGCAGAGATTTCATGGCACAGCACTCTGTGACCCTTGATGTGCAGATTTCGTGGCAGGCGCAGCACTTGGTGAACCTCGAAGTGCAGATTTCGTGGCAGGTACAGCACTTGGTGAACCTCGAAGTGCGGATTTCGTGGCATGCGCCGCACTTTGTGAACCTCGAAATGCAGATTTCGTGGCAGGCGCAGCGCTTGGTGAACCTCGAAGTGCAGATTTCGTGGCAGGCACAGCACTTGGTGAACCTCGAAGTGCAGATTTCGTAGCAGGTACAGCACTTGGTGAACCGTGAACCTCGAAGTGCGGATTTCGTGGCAGGCACAGCACTTGGTGAATTGCACGTATGCGCGCAGGCAGCCCGCTGTTGGCTGTCTGGCCTTAAGACTTTGCGCCTGCGATGGCAGGCATTCTTGACTCCTAGACGTAACAGGTTTCTTGTACGTATGCGCCCGGGCAGCCCGCTGTTGGTTGTCTGGCCTTGAGACTTTGCGCCTGTGATGGCAGGCAGTCACCCTTGACTCCTAGATGTAACAGGTTTCTTGCACATATGCGCGCAGGCAGCCCGCTGTTAGCTGTCTGGCCTTGAGACTTTGCGCCTGCGATGACAGGCATCCTTGACTCCTATATGTAACAGGGTTCTTGCACACGCTCCAGATTGTGAGGAGGTCTAGATTATGAGAGCCTCTATATTGTGAGGGTCTCTAGATTGTGATGGTCTCTAGATTATGAGAGTCTCTAGATTGTGAGGATCTCTAGATTGTGAATGTCTTTAGATAGGTCGAAGCTACACCACCAAGCGCAGACGACTGGAAGGTCTTTTTTTAACTAAAAGGCTAGCTTGGTGGCTGGCTGAAAGGTGAGAACAGAAATCGATAATTGTAGAAGCAGGTACACAGAGATGATTAGCTTCCGCTTCCTAGGTCATTGCAAAGAGTTCGTTGGGCAGCTTTGCAAGTCCACTCTACCTCCCTGTTCGGAATCTCATTAAGCTGGACAAGAAATGTTGTTTAATATCAGAGCTCCTAAAGATTGAAATGGTAGATGATATGCGCATGACATCAGAGCTCCTGAAAGGTTTGAAATATTGTATATTTGCCCTCGGCCGTCATCTTGTGGTTGACTTTTTTTGTCATGCCACGCGGAGCAAAGAAAACTGATGGCCCCAAGTCAGAGGTGCCTGGTGTTGCGCGGGCAAAAATGCAAATAAGTGGAATGTGCGCCTAAGTAAGGGCCACATTTCGAGCCTGATCGCGCTTCCCCCCCCCAAGTGGTTGTGACAAGGCATCGGAAAGCAAAAGAGAAAGTACATCGGCAGATTTGATACGCAGCTGGAAGCTGAAAACAAGATGTACAAAGTCTTGGAGGAAGAGTCCAAGGCCTACAAAAAAAAGCATATAGAACATTATCAAACGTATTTGTCGTCACAGGTTGGCTCAGAGGACTCTCCACAAAGTGAATCCCACCCGAAGCCTGGGCGGTGCGTTCATCGTCCACTGCCACCGTGCACCTCGTGGTACGTTTGGCTTGACAATGTCAGATTCGACAAGCTGTGCCAGCAATTGGCCGCCTTCGTGATGTGTATGGACTTGACAAAGGGAGACCATGGTATATGATCTACTAGATACTTTGTGAGTTTCATATACGTCGAACTTCTGATTGTGAACAGATCAACCAAGGCTGGATTTAGCTCAAGAAATGAAAGCTGGGATTGTTGCCCAGCTGAGCCAGTTGAAGGCATTACTCACTGTGTGGAGATCTGTATATGTATATATATAGGTTTGCGCGCGCAGGTTCCCCTTGCAAGCGCTGGCTTCTTGAATACAATTGACAAGGTGTACCCCCACAAGCGAGAATCGCTCGGCACGCAGCTTCAATGGGCGCAAGACCTAATGACCTCATGGAGTGAAATGGACCACTCGCAAGGCAAGAAGTGCACTGTTGCAAGTAGTAGGCTGAAAGCCGCGTGCGTTGTTTGAGAAGGCGAGACATTGCCGCCGCGACCGGTGAAATCGCCGGGAACACCCTCTTCATCTTCATCAGAAGCCAATCCAGAATACGCCACAAGCGATGAAGAGGGAAAGTGATCCCCCAAGGGAGCTTGCAGTGGACCGAGGGGTGTGTTAAGAACTACACTCTCTAACTCAATTGGAAACAGACCAGTTTCTTTGGACTCATCCAGTTCAGCTGATGTTAACCTAAGTGGTTGTTTGGCGCTGCGTTCAGTCCTCTTTTGGTGCAGATTTCGGGGCAGGCGCAGTACTTTGTGAACCTCGAAGTGCAGATTTCGTGCTCACTCTCTGACTCTCTCGATCACTCTCACTCTCACTCAATCACACACGCTCACACTCACACTCGCTCATCACTCACTCACATTCACACCACACTCACATTGACATTCACACTCACACTCACACTCACTCACTCACCGCCACCACCGCCGTCACCACGATCCCCACGCACCTTCATCACCACCATCACCTCTCTGAACCCCAATGCCTCTAGATCTCTAGACTTTTTGGCTAATAAACCTCACACACACACTGTTTGGGGTCCCGAGATAGTTTGTTTGTGGCAATCTTGATGTAACGCAGAGGTTCTTCAAGGGTTTTTGGGCGCCTGCAAAGCAAAAAGCTGTGGCTGCCTTCTTTTTGGATAGGCATCTTTCGAACGTTCCCTGGCACTGGTATAGCGGCACCGAAGGCCTGGAGGCACGACATTCGTCATGGCAGAAGGAAACTCAAGCACGTAGCAAGACGAGCCTGGCCGATGTCTTTCAAGCAATGCAAGAGCTGTACGACACATGACGATCAATCTTTGATTGGGGAAAGAACATGAAAATGACGACTTTGCCGGGAATGATGAATGATTGATTGCTAAACAGCAGCACGTTGAGAAACCAAGAGCGTTCTCCAGCTGTCGATTACTGGTAGAGCCGTCGCGAAGGAAACTACTTTTGTACGTGCTGGTCGGGTTTGTACTACACTTTTCAGTGCTCCTGCTCTGTTGAGGGGGACCCAGAACCCGGGTCAAAACTCAGGGCCAAGAGCATTGATGGCGGGTCGATTCTTGGCTGGATCAAAGCTAGCAGCTAATTGAATCTATCTCATTTGAAACAGCAATTGCACTCCCTGGAACTAACATGGAAGTGGAGAATGGCCCCTTGGAAGACCATTTTCCACTACAAACAGGTGGTTTTCCACTTCCATGTTAGTTTTTGGGAGTGTAAACGATCCAGTTTCACGATACAGACACCAGTCAGATGCGAGGCCTTGCTCTCTCCACCTCTCAGCTGGTGGATGTGCCAAAAATTTCCCACGAGATCAACGGAGTCAGCATCGATGAGCTTTGAGAGCGTACGTGCTCAGACCGGTATAGGGTTCATATGTAATGTACTTCCGTCCTTCAGTGAGTCAGTGGAGGTTAAACCTGCACCGACTCACTTTGTTTTTTTTTGTGGTTTCTTCAATCAGCAAGGGCAGGTGAAACAGGATTTGCCGCCCTTCTTTTCCAGGGATTTCCCGGGAAAACTGAGGGAGTCGGGTCCCCAACTGGGGGGTAGGAGACGACCCCATTTGTGTGCCTCCGCTGGGTGTGCCTTGGAGAGCGCTCTTTGAGCAACAATCATGCTCTGCTTCTTTGTTCACCAGTCTTCGTTGGTGAACGAGAGCCCCCACAGAGGCGAGAAACTTCGTTTGATAAAACTAAAGTAGTCTGAATGAGATACTGTGACATGAGCTCCTACTGAAGTAGTCTAAACGAGATGGGGGCCCCACATAATTAGATCATGTATTTGAGTTTAGTAGTGTATAAATGCCGCTCATTTGGATTTGCACAAGTGCAATGCTCTGATTGTGCTGAAGATGATATAAGATGACCAGAAGATCACACGCCTCGTGTCCTTGAAATTGTTTTTGCTCTTGTGTTATCCTCGCATCCCGAATAGATTTCCCCAACAAATGATCGCAGTCGTCTCTCCAGCGTATTGTTCCTAAAAGTTGCTTGCAGTCTTGTCTCTTTTATCTAGTTTCTTCAATTTGTTCTTGTTCACTTTGCTGATTTCTTGCCAAAAGTTATGTGTTGTTTACTTTTCAATAAATGTTCATCATGTCCTAATCTTCCAGCAAGTTGTGTTACTGTTGTTTGTTGTTCTTCAAATTGTTCATCCTCGTGGCCTTTACCTTTTTTTCCAGAAATTGTTTGTTGCAATCTCTTCGATCCTTCTTGTCTGAAGTCGGTACAGTCATCTCTCCAGGTGTTCCCAAGTGCTTTGCCAGTCTGGAACTGTCCAACAAATGTGTTTGTCACTCGCAGGTTTATCACCACCGAAGGAAAGACAGTGGTTTGCAAGAACAGGTCACGCATGAATCAGTTCAGAGATTGCGCAGGTCACGTCTGTGGGGGGGGAGAGGCCTCAAACAAGTTCCGATGGTTTTGTCAAAAAGGTTCTACTCCCAGCCCACCACAACCACAGCTCAGCAACCCCAACAAAACCCAACAAAGCAACACAAATGCAGCCAAGCAACACTAGAGATAGACCTAATTAGGCGTCACTTGCGAGGTGCCAAGCAACACTAGACTCTGAAGGTTCTTGTTGCTGCTGGAAGTGGAAAGCATGGATCCAGGGGTGTGCATATTAACAGGGATCCAGGGGTTCCCCAGGAGGGTCTCCTTATTCTGCACACCTAAATGTTCGGATTCATGGATCCTCCGGTGCTGGATTCCTTCCTTCAGCGCCTGGAACGCGCCTTTTAGCACCTTCGCTCGCCTGGGTTGGCTGCGGATGCGGCATCCTAGCAACGGTTCGGAGCTCCAGGTTTAGACCCGTCATATTGTTCTTAAATGCAAATGCTAGGACTTGGCAGGACTTGGTGGCTTAGAGATGCAAGTGATTCAGGACGCCTGCTTCCTGTCCCACCCAGAAAAAGGGGATACCTGTTAAACGATTTAGGGGACTCATTTCCAACCTAAAATCCAAGTATGGACAGTTTAGTTAAATGGTGTTTTTGAGGGAAACGGAACGGCTCGATTCTCGTTGTCCAGCACACAAAAAACACCAAGCACTTCTGAACCGATGCGGAAAGGCTGGTCGAAGACGAGGATGGCCAAGAAGCTTACCACGACCTGGAAGTTCCAAGCGAGTCCTTCGCAGCGCTCCTTCGGCGGGCAATTAAACATCTAAACCGAATTTGGGCGTCAACAACACCTACCTTCTCAGAAGGTTGGAAACTACCCAAGCAATGGCGGGAAAGGGGAGTAGGCCAGGTTTACAGTAGGGGATTCACTTGGATAGTCCAATTGAAGAGGCTGTGTGTTGTGGCATGGTTGGAAGGTGGCATGAATTGGAGTTCCGTGAATGGCACTACACGTTGCACCTGGCAAGCGTGATGAGGTCCCGGCCGATCCTCGCAATGCTGGGTGCACAAAAGAAGCACAAGGACATCGAAAGGTTTAGTGAAATGACTCTTGGAACAGGCCGGCTTCAGGTTTGAACGTTCCGAATGATAAACTTCAAAGTTCTTGCAAGAGAACACCCTTTCTGTTGCTATCCTTCTTGGTCGTGCTACATCAAATGCTCTGAAAGGTCTTTGGAAGGACTGCGTAGAAACAAACATGCATGGACAAATCTTCTTAGCTTGAGAATGGCGGCAGTGAATGTTTTGGCAACAAGTAACAAGTTCCTCAACCGCTTCCTCATCCAAGGTGCATGGTTTCCAGAAGGGAAACCCGTGTCGAAATTGGAAGCATGCATGGAGGTCGAAACTATCAGCAAAGCTCATTCCAGCAGCAAACGATCTGGGCAAAACCTCTTCTTCGTGCATCCAACAGTGTCTTCCTTTGTGTCAGCGATCACGCACTTGCTGCCTGCTTCATCATGCCAACTTGAATTCAATTGAATTCATACGACCATGCAGTAGGGTACAGGCTTAGGTCAATACTTTGCAAGCACTCCGCATGGACATTGTGCGCAAAAAGTTGCGACGAACACTGTTTTTTGGGGGTTTACTACTGTCATTGAGTGCCGCTGTCCTTTTTTTCGCAGAGCCTGCAGCGCAACGGTACCATCATTGTTTAGCACAAAATGGCGCTGTTCGGCCGGTTGTCTTCCATCGACGACGACTGGGGGAACTTTTCTAGTCTTCTAGGCTATAGAATTCCAGCCCGAATCCATTCGTATTTCTGCCAGAACATGGTTTTCACGCCCAACCCTGGAATTCCTGGAATTCTCGCCCGAATTCTCGCTCATGATCGATATGTTCTGCGAGTGATGCTGAATAGACGCAGTGCAGCTTGAGTCTTTAATACCCACTCAATCACACGAATTCTCGCCCGATCACAAAAGTTCACGCCCGAATCACGTTGAAATGTGGAAAATTGCTTTGCAACTGCAGATTTGGAACTTAGGCGTTTTGCAACTAATCTGCAACATTTGCCCGAAAAAACGATTTCTGCCCGCAGGCAGTTTTTGAGGACATACCCTGGTTTAGTCCGGTTTTCTTGAACAGGCAGAAATGTGAGCCTGAATGCGGGTCCAAGTATAGTTGGATATAATTGGCCATCTACAATCAAACCTTGGCTATCTTCTCCATCTGCTCCCAGTTGATTGAGCATTCCCCATCCCCCCAGTCGATGATTTTTGTTTTCCATCTCTTGACTATGTGATACGTTCAGAGTGATATCGGAATTGCATTGACTTGTGAGCTTGGCTATCCATGCCACGCACCTGATTGCCAGCAACCCTTTTGGACATTGATGCCACAGTTTCACTGGAATCACCTTAGGCGAAGCCAGCTAACTGTAAACTGGGCTGCAAGGTCCTCTCTTTTCGTACGTAGCATGTTCATTCCCAACCTTCTTTTGTCATTCTAAGGCTTTTGCAATAGCCATGCATCTCACATGTGTTTGGAAGAGTGTGCTGGTGTCAATGTCAAAGGTGATCCCATTTTCCACATTCATGTTTGCACCCAAACATGGGTTTCCGCATGTCATTCATCCTAGAAACCAACATGGAAACAAAGTTTTTCAGCCAAAAGACTGTGGCAGTCATGTTCTTTCAAAACGAGCTGGAAACTTCTTTCTGAAAACAACATTAACCTGCACCACCCTCCGGATCTGAGGGGCGCTCGGGGCCGAGGCTGAGCGACCCTCCGGACTGCTTTCCGGAGCGTGAGAAGCTGTGCCGGGCCGTTGGCCGCCTCCCTGCTGGAGCATCCGTAGGCAAAGGGAATGGCGTTTATTTTTTACAGCCGTTTTTTGGTTTGGGGATGGGGTGGAACAAGCATATAGATAGATAGTTAGATAGATAGATAGATAGGTATAGGTAGTTAGACTAGATAGATAGTATAGCCTTAATGGTTTACTCTTTTCAAACATATGTGTGGTAAGAAGAAAGTACTCAGATGTTCAACAACAAGACAAAGCAAAATTAACAAGCCTTGGATAGGAGGAAACATGTTCTTCCAAGGTGCCTAGAGCCACTTATCTCCTGAAGACTACAACCTTTACATGTTCGTACCTGGTTTGTGGTTCATAGCATCCCCCTCAATCATTTGCGGATATGATATATGATGAGGCAAATTTGGGTATTCCATATCGACCTTCGGATCAGTATCTGGTTTTGTCACCTGCCATTCCGCATGTTAAAACCTTGCAACACAACAAAGTTAGATATCAGTTCCAATTCTCCTAACTGACCCCCCTGAGATGGGTGTGTTTTAAGTCACGGAGACATCACCTCTGGAAGTAAAAATAGATCAAAAACGGTTGGAGGGCCCCAACCATGCTGTTGTTGTTGCTGCTGTTGTTGTTTTTGTTTGTGTTTTGTATTTTTATTGTTGCTTCTCAGCATTGGCCAAGTTGCCTTTGCCTCTGTCCCGCTTGCGGGTGTGTTTTGGTGTTTTTTTTTTTGCTACTCAGCCACACAGCTTTGACTGGTTGGTTCTGGTTGCGTGGAATACAAAGAGGCCACCTTTGTGCACATGGACATGGACCAAGTAAGCCTATCCCAGTGTAGCTAAATGTGACAGTTGCATGGAATGTCAGGAAGGTGGTTCTTCAAACCAAAGCCCCGATCCCCACCCCTCGCAGTGTCAGGCAACTTCTTCGATCAGGTTTCCTACTGTGCGCCCCGGCGCCGGCATAGTCGCCGGATCGTCGGCGATGTGGTCAAGCAGACATTGGGGGTGATGCGATACGGGTTGTTTCTCAAAACACATCCATGTGTTATTGATAGAAACAAAACGGGACGTCGCACCGGATGGCATATGACAACACATTGATTGATATTATTGTGTTTTGTTTGTTGGGCTCTGAGGTGCCAATACATTAAGGGGAGTCGAGTTTAAAACGTTAATATTCAAGTTTCAACGGTTTTAACCAGTCCAGTCCTCCCTATCCACCCAGGATAGTCTGTCGTGATTTGAATCTACGTTTCTGCCAAAGAACGACATCAAGGAGGGGCAGTGGCAGCGCAGACCGAAGTGTCTTCGAACTTATATATATATATATACTTTGTTGATCTTTGTTGCCTCAACACTTGGGCAAGCGGTGAAGCAAACTTGGTCAAAACCTATAGTGCACTCCTACTCGGTGCCCCTTGCATCCCCCCGGCATGTTTTGATGCAACTTTATTTCACCGCTTAAATCAAGACACGGCCCACAACAAATCAAACAGTTATTTAGTACACGCATATTTGTTTCCACCCCTATGCCGATCAGACATCTCAGGGGGAACCTACCATTGATTTATATAATCTGATTTCATGGATCCCATTGGGTCAAATCGCTCTGTTTCAAGGCTATGCTGGAACCTCATTCGAAACGCGAACACTCGGTCCGACCCGGTCCCCACCGTCCGAGTTCGCGGCGATGAACCGCCGCCCGAACTCGTTTGGGACCGAAGAAGCGTCGAAAACCCAACGAAGTCCTCGCCAGGTGCCGCTGAGAGTGCCAGCGGATCGCCTACTGAGCACGAGGTGCCGAAAAAACGGTCCTTTGTGGTTTGTATGTAATACATTTACCCAGACACGACCAATGGGACGGCCATATATGCCGATCAGTTGGGGTGCTTTTGGGGGTCTTATGGGTATTTACAGTGTTGTGGGGCTTCTGGTGGCAGGAATTGTCCATCACCTGTTGGCATTCGTGATGAGATGCAATGGTGGCCACGCGACTAATAAGTCCATTGATATTTGGTGATTAGCTAATAGGCTGTGTGTGTTTGCAGGTGCCCATGGGTCAAGTAAGTCACGGATGATGACTTACTTCCTGCTACGGCTTTCAAAACCAAGCAGCGCCCTCTTCTTCCTGCGTTTTGATCACTCGAGCTACTCCGCGGGAGTTTCTCCGCTGAAAAGACATAGACTGTGTGAAGGCTTAAAAGACGTGAATCATTTGGGATGTCAACTCATCCCCCTGACACTGTTTTGGCTAGATGGCAACTAACCACTCATACTTTTGCTGAGCTTCAATGGTTTGTTCTCCTTCACAGCGATGTCGGCTGTCAGCTGATCTAGAAGCTGCATGTCCACCAAGGAGTTCTGGATTGCAGAGCATAGATGTGTAAGATTGTGTAAGTACTTGAAAGTTGTTGGAAGGTGGTGTTTATTCCAGGACAACCTGACCCTGCAACGCCCTCATGGAAGTGGATTGCCCATGGAAAGACCATGAAAGCCGAAGACCAAACAGGGTGTTCACTTCCATGTTTGTTGCAGGCAGGGTATCGACCCTCTGCTATGTTGTTGATTGTGGGGCTGTGTTCATCAAGAGTCTACATGGGGATGGGTCAAAACCTGGATCACTGATCCACCATGTAGCGAACGAAAGAAACACCAGGTAGGTCAATCGGTCACACGTGCCTGTGATGACCCAAGGGCCTCGCCGCAGAGCGTTTCGAAACGCAAGGGCCTGGCCCTCCAGCGTCTTTGTTGCGGCACCTGGCACAGCAGAGGATGCGCAGAGCAGCTCGTCGACACATGGCGGATGGGTCCTGTACCTGGTGCAGATTGGGTGGATCTGTTACCTTCCGTGGTGGAATCCCCGAACCCCCGGACCAATCCCGTTTCCTGGACCAATCCCGGAACTTGAGCGAATTGAAGTGATAGGCAAGTATCCACTGATATCCAGAAAAGGGGGACGAAAGGGAGCCTCCTTCAATTGGGGGTCTCGGCTATACTTCCAGTTGAGGTTTGGCTGGAGGGCTTTTGTGCTCTCAAGATCTTGGAGAGAAGGTAGACTCCGGCAGACCTTTTCGAAGGTAGTGCCAGCGACTAGAAGTCCTAGAACTGCTGGTTCAGGTCACAGACTTGAAACGACCTGAGGTGTGCCTTGGCCCATGGAGTCTCCGTTTGTACCTCCTGTAAAAAAAACGAGTACAATGTTTTTCGTTGGGGCTCATGTCCCATTCTAAGGTACTTTGGAGGGTCCACGTACAAATTAAGAAAGACTTAGACCTAGCAACCGTTTCCCTTGCAACATAGAACCTGCTGGAAGATAATCTTGACATTGTCCTTTTTGTATCCTTTTGTTGTGTCCGCAGATAAGGTGGTGGTCCGTGTCCAAATCATTTTTTGCGAGAACCTCTCCCCACATATCCATGATAATTAGTTAATTATTATATCATACACCCAGAGCTCCCAAACATGTTGTTTACTTTTTCCAATCAAAACAATAGGTCATGTTTGGCGTCAAGCTCCGCATCACTAAACTTACCTGGCTTCTCGACCCGGATGCATCTTGATTGATTTAAGCCCCTTTCACAGAATCTCCACCTTGGGGTCAAGTCGACCTAGATAGATCCCCTCGACAAGGATCTTGATTCACTCAGCTAAACAACACTATCCACTATTACAGGGAAATAGGATACACCCTAGCTAAACAATTCGATTAACTGAATCAAAGGCGCCTGTCATCTCGCGGACCCTTTTGAGTGGCACCCCCATCTCTTCCGACTCTTCCTCTTCTGAACGGACCCGAAACCGAGCCGTAGTCCGACGGACGAGGCAGCGAGTCCGACGACGAGAAGCTGCACTTTCGAAGTGTCAAGGAGGCCCAGCGCGTGGCCGAGCAGGAGCGACCGCCCGTTGGAGCGACGCCCGCCCGTGTCGGGCGAGGTTGACGGTGGGGGGTTGACCTGGGTTGACCTCGGAGCAAACAGCTCGGGGGGGTGTGAATGACGGTGAATGGCCAATTTGGGCACAGAAGATATATTGCAGCAGTTGGAGTCCGAGCTATATAACAGTTGGATCTGCAACAGACAGTAAACAGTTCCAAACATTCTTTTAAGAGCTCACTGACCACGTGCATATGCCGACCTCGTGAGGAGCGGCTGCTGGCCGAGGCGCATCAGATCGGGTCGGCTTTAGTGGACCGTTGGAGCAGGAATCCGCCCTCCATTGCAGCGGTCGGACCTTCTCCACCGATCTTCGCATGTGTTGCCATGCTTTGAACATCTTTCGGGTAAGTCACTTCCCAAACACGACCAATGGGACTGGCATGGGACTGCCGCAGAAAGACCCCTACATTGACACCACCCCAATTGCGGCCGGTTGTTTTTGGGATCGATGTCTTGTCGTTAGAGCCGAGTGGAGAGTGTCCATGGGTGTCCGTTGGGCCGTTGGGATCGCGACATGTTTCGATGGTGAGGTTCGGAGGGGAAAGGGAGGGGTGTGTGTGAGTGTGTGTGAGTGCGTGTTTTGCGGTAGATGCGCCAACAAAAAGGGCAAAGAAGGGTGGCCTCAGAGGCGGTCAGTCAAGCAGCAGTTGTGCCCTTCTACTTGGAAATAGACGGACAAGTGAAGGAAGGCCCTTGAAACATTGGACTTGTTGGAGATGTATGCAATGCTTCTAACATGTTACAAGTAGATTCTACGTGTTGTTCTTAACACTTTTTGACCCACTTCGTTGAAGACATTTTTAAGAAGTCACGTGCACATCAACCCTATTCTAGAACTATTACTTTGAAAGAGATGCCAGGTCATCATGTAAACCCTTCTCCATGTATGGCCCCGTGTCTCACTCCATCGAACTGCATCGCGCCAGATCCAGCACACCGGCGAGGTGGCCTTCCTGGAGGTGCGACCCGTCCGGCAGGTCGTGTGGGAGGAGCGATGGCTGCGCGTTGACCATGGCACACCCGGAGCCCGGAAATGAACACCCAGGTAGGTTGACCATGTGAAGAAACAACAATTATGTGTTTATGTTCCAGTCAACCGACCAATTTGTTTTTCAGGTTTCGACCCACGACCATAATATATGGATTCGTTCAACTCCATGGCTTCCAAATCATCTATACCTAGAACCTGAGCGACCCAGTTTTGAAGCCAAAACAGGGTCTTTGCCGATCTAAACAGGGCAAACAGGGCCATTTACCTGGGTTCCAGGTAAATTGCCCCCTGTCATAGATAGAAACGTAGATACCCACGAAGCATGTATTGGAAGCCCTGGCACTATCTATTTGGAGACCACTATCAATAATGTTGCTTTGATGGTTGGAAACAACATCCACAAAGGCTCCAGACAGACTGGATCTACTGAACCTCGCTCCAAACAACAACGACTTCAAAGCTCCGCTAGGGTGGTGCCAAGCAGAAGAAAGGTGCTGGATCTGAGGTGCACTCCCCGGGTTGGCGCGAGCGGTTGGCTGAGCTTCCGTCGAGCGTGTTCGAAGGACGACTGAGAGACTCCAATTGTTTCAGGGAACACAAACCGAATGAAGAAAACACATTTGCATGTGTACCTTAATTGTCATTAGCGTAGATTTCAAAACCTTAAAACAGAGGTTGAGAGGAGACCTCTCATGTTCCACACCTGCTTTGGTGTGTAACCTTGTGTGTGTGTGTGTCCTGTGCTTCCCTCTTTGGTATATCATGTAGACAAAAAACCATGAAGCATGGGCCTCCAGCAGTTCATCAGCTTCTTTCTCGGAGTTCACCGAGGCGGTGCAAAGTCCTCGGAGTCACACGACGGTGATCCGTCACCTTCATGTTGGGGTCACCTGGCTGGTTTCGCCCCTAGACGAGCTCTAGGAACCTCCAGACACCCCGAGGCCCGAAGGTTCAGGTACCTGTTCTTAGTGGAAAAGAAGAAAAGGGGCCTTGACGACGTATGCTTGATTGGTCTTTAAAAAGGCAGAAAACAGCATCTGAGATCATCTATATCGCTGGGACGATAGTTTATGGCCCCCTCCAGCAGATGTTCAGTGATTCGCAGGAATTGGGGTGCCGAACTTGGAGAAAGTCGGGGTGCCCGATGTCACATCCACTGGAAGGGACGGACCACTGCATGTGACCCCACTTCTGACCCCACCTTAGACGACCACCGACCCCATAGGCCTTCTGGGCCTTCTGGCCGGGAACGCTCCGCCTCCGCTCGACACCAGGAGTACCAGCAGAAGCTCCGCGCTGAGGACAGCGACGTTGAGACGATGTTGAGACGAGACGGATCCTGGTGATCCTGGTTACTGTAGGTTACACTGTAGTGGGACGAAAGGAAAAGGGTGAAACACTGCCAACACACCACGGCTTGAAAGCCGTGGTTTCAGAGTAGATGGCCCAGTGGTTTATACCCCCATTTGTCGTCAGACACCGGGTACCGGTACCATCTACCATTGAACCTCTTTTCTCCACTGGCCAACTCGAGGTGAAATCGCGGATCGGATGGACGAATGATGTGACAAAACCTGGAGCCGACAGGGGAAGTTGTTGAATATCATGACCTCCGAGTTGGGCTCCGAGTTGTGATGAATGACCTGTTTTCTGCGAATGGAAGTGCAGCGACACGTACAGTGCAATTTGTACATATATATGTACCATATGTACTTTGGCTCAAGGATCAAGCGACTAGAAAAGGTGCGGTTTCCGTTCCGACGCTACGCCGCTTATGGATCGTCAGTGATAGCTTCAAACTTCGCTGATTAAGATCCACTCGCAGGTTATCAGCCGTACGCGCTCTTTATAGCCGTACGAGCTACACGAGACCAAGAACAAGACTAGTCATTACAGAAACCTGCAATGTCAAGCTCAGGAGGAAATGGAAGCGAACCCTATTCATTCGCTGCTCCTGGTGGTCCCAACACCATTTCGTCACCAGACTCTACAATGGGTACTGATTCATCAGCAAATGCTGACGTTATCACTATGCCTACTGGATCACAAATCTCGGAAAGATCCGTGCCACCGGCTCGGAATCTGACCGATCTTGCACCCGTAGGACCAAGAAGATCGATGAGAGCTACAACAAGATCTACATCGCCTATAACGTCTACCGCGAGGTCCCCAAGAAGGAGTATAGAGAAGAGACGTGACGATGATAGAGGAACAAAAGAGCAAAGAAGAGAGATTCAGCTGGGTGAAGAATTGAGATCGGCGAGAAACGCATACAATTTTCTTCATGAAGAATATGAATGCATCCAAGCCGGATACTCACGACTACACCACGAGGCTGAAGTGGAGTTCAGGCAAATGTCTGACTACAACAGGAAGATGCAGGAACATCTACAAGAGATGACACAGGAAGATGAAGGAGCGACAATAAGAATTGAAGAGCTCGAACACAAGCTACGCTTGGCGGAATCGACAGCTGAACATATCTACATGAGATATCAAGAGCTTGCACAAGAAACTCATCAAGAACATTCAGAGCTTGAATCTGTGAAAGCAACGAAGGACAGAATGTCCCAAGAGCTTCAAGCAGCAATTGGACACATCCAAGAACAGAATGAATCTTCATTGGCGATCAATAGAAGATCAAAAGCCATTCAGGATGAGAACACAGCCTTCGTCGGAATAGCTGACCAGATACAAGCTAGAATGATTGCGCTACAGGATGAGAATGTCAACATGCACGAGGTGATCCAACACCAGAGAGAAGAACAATGGAACAGTGAGGTCAGGGAAAGACGTCTTCAACACAGTGTTCACTCATCTCAAGATCAGAGCAATCAGGAAGCTATGGTTATTGATCATCTACGAGGTCAACTAGCTATGGCACGTGGAGCTGAACTCAACGCGAGAGCGGAGATAGAAGAGATGGAAGTGGGCATGAGGATGGAGATATTTGTATGCCAGACTGAAGTCTCTGCTAAAGAAATGGCAGAAATGAAGGCGAGCCACCATGAATACGAAGCAAACGTCGCAAAGGAGGTTATCGCAAAAGGAGAAATATTCAACAACGAAGTCCTAGAAGGTTCCATCCGTGAACGACAACAGTTGAAAGACGCCAACCTCGCTCTATCCGAAGCCAACGCACAGCTGAAAAGAGAGAATATGATGAGAGCTCCTATGTTCGGCGATGATGGTGCTGAAATTCAACAGAAGATCAGAGAACTGGAGAATGCACTATTGGAAAGCCAGAAGGAGACAAAGAATGTCATTATGGAAAATGCGAAATTAAAAGCAGAAGCACGAATGGCACCCATAGTCTCTCGGTACAGCAAGCGTCCTAGTTCCAGAGACCGCGGGTTACCAACCCACGCGTCCGAGGAAGATGAGGTTCGGAACGCAAAAGAGGAGGCGAAGCACTACAAGGACGGGTACAATGAAATGACAGAGAGCCGAGATGAGATGTATGAATGGTATGCCGAAACCCACAATGAGTACGCCGAGGAAAGGGAGAAATCAATTGAGCTATCCGAGGCGAACAAATCATTGAGGGACAAGATTTCAGAAGCAGAAGCATCCTCTTCATCTCATCTTGCACCGGCAACCTCTACAATCATGAAAGTATCGAGGAGGAAGAATCAAAGATAAACGTTCCGTCATGGCCCAGGATCAATGATCTTGGACTATGGAAGGCAAATCTCATTCAATCGATCATCATTGCGGCCAATGATTCAGATCAAGAGCCCTGGATCGACTGGATCAAAGAAGCCATGGACGATCCTGATCCGGACAAGTTTGTCGACTCAGGAGACCAAAGATTCCATTCAATCGATGCCAAACCCGGCCTAGCTCTTACCAAGGTCGTCATGGATGCGAAAGATGATGGTTCAGGTGTAGCTATGAAGTTGAGGACGAGGATCAATGCAAAAGGGAGAACATCAAGCCTCATAAAGGGAAGAGAGGTCCTAGCCCTGATCCTTATGAATTTCAAGACAACATCAAATGTGGAAGTCTTATATACTTCAATGCACCTCTACCAACTAGAATATCAAGGAGACAAGAACTTATCGTTGTTCTTCCACACTTGGGATGAGATTCTGGCAGGAATGAAGCCCGTTGACGTCCCGAGCGACGAAACTCTTCGGGATCTCCTATGGAGAAAGATCAGGAACTCAAACCTCATGGCATACGACATCAGCGCCTACAACAGCATGAACGACGATGATGCCAAGAAGACATACAAACATCTACGTGATATGATCAGAAGGCACATCGAACGGCAAACTGAAGACAGGATGATCCTGGAAAAGGAGAAGGCAGTGAAGAATGTGGCCAATATCTTTCAGAATCTCAAACCAGGCGGACCTGCTCCAAAACTGAAAGCTGCGCCAGCTGATCCGAAGAAGAAACCAAAAGGGCAACAAGAACAGATTGTCTCAGAAGACGCTGCTGCAGTGAAGCCGAAACCCAATCCCAAGAAGCATCCTGAAGACAAGAACAAAAAGGGAAAGGGGAAAGGTAAAGGTGATGGAAAGGATCGCAGCCGAAGTCCGAGTACAGACAAGAAGAAGATACCATGCAAATACTTCGTGAAAGGTAACTGCACTATGGGGAAAGATTGCCCATTCAGTCACAAGAAACCCAGATCACCATCCAGAGGATCTTCTGTCGGAAAGAATGACAAGCCAGTATGTTGGATGTGGATTCGAGGAACTTGTGACAAAGGGAAGGATTGCAAGTTCTACCATGACCCAAAAGCCTCTCCTAAGAAAGGGATATCTGCACCAGCTGACTCAGGAGACGATAGGCCAAAGCCCAAGGCAAAACCCAAACCGAAGCCTAAGGCGAAGCCTGGAGCCCCAGCCATTGACGGTGAACTCTTCATGGACGAATCCGAAGATGAAGGGATTGCTGCATCCGCCAAGGCAAGAGAAGGAGGTGCAAAAGTATCCTTTGATGAAGAGACTTGTGAGATCATGTTGAACGAAGCGATCTACTCAGTCAGGAACAAATGGAAGGTAGTAGAAAGGAAACCTCTACGTCCAGACATCAAACGATACGATGAGAAAGAGCTCACCTGCTACACGGAAAGAACAAATCAGATTTGAAGAAAAGGTCGCAGAGGCAAGAGGCATATTGATGGTCCCCTACACTGAGATCAAGAGGGTCCGAATACCAGTTGGACCAAAGGGTGACCTAGCGGTCACTATGTCTTTTGACGAAGATGACGGCCTAGTTTTCCATCATAAAGTCATTCCTCATGTATGCGAGGGAAAGAAAGATCATGCAGACACAAAGACATTGTCTATTCCAGCCAAAGGGTCAAGAACAAAGTTCATCATGGACACAGGATGTGGGTATGATTTGATATCGAAAGGTAGAGCCAAGAAATTAGGTCTGGAAGTGAGAGAAAGCGACCAATCAATGTCATTCTATACCGCAAATGGAGTGACATCCACAAAGGGAGTCGCCGACATTCATTTCGACGAATTTGACTCTACCTACTCCCCATTCGTCTTAGATGAGTCTCCTTCAGTACTGTCTGTTGGAAAGAAATGCATGGAGGAAGGTTACACATTCATATGGCCAGCCTGCGGCAACCCGTACATGGTTTCCCCGAACTACAAGAAAATCATGTTAGAAGTAGAGGGAAACATCCCATATATTGTCAAGGGCAGTGACTTCTGTAACCCCACCGACGATGTAAGGGCGGAGATGATCGCAAGGTTCACCCTAGGAGAAGGTGAAGCTGATTACCAATCGGCTTTCATCAACTGTGATGTGGATCCTCAAGGCGTCATGTGTGATGATGACGACCTCCCTGTGATTGAGCCTCCAAAAGTCAAAAGACGAAAGAGGAATAAGAAGTTCAAGGCATCTCCTGGAGAAGAAGATGAGGTAGGATCAGATGTCGCCGGAGACAGTGAACCAGAAGCTGACGATGATGATGCAGATGACATCGAGGTGGATATTGTTGACGGTGCAAGCAGAATGGTGAGAAGAGGAACTCTGAAAGCAGATGCCAGGAAAATCGAACATCTACTCACACACCGTTACAAGAATCCCTACTGTGAGTCATGCATCAGAGCAAAGATGAAACACTTCAAGACGCATCGAGGAGCGTTCAAGAGAAAGCTCAAAGCTTTTGGGGATCTGGTTACCTTTGATTTTGTCGATACGAGGAACATCCTTGATCAAGGGATCAGTACTGATCGAGAGATCTTCGTCATTCGTGACAAGTACACAGGCGTCATATGGGCCTATCCGTCGAAAGAGAGGTTTGCCAAGGACGTGGTCAATGCAATAAACCACTTCAAAGGATTGAAGGAGATCAAGATTGCTTATGCCGACA